CTGCTCGACAGGCACGCGGCGCGCTCCCTCTCCGCCAGCGAGCTGGGCAGGGCCACCGCGCTGCCCAGCGCGCGCTGCTCCTTGGGGAGCGCCGCTGGGTGACCATCATACCGCGGTCTGGATTCCGGGGCGCGATCCCGCGGATACGCGGTCGCACGGATACGCTCCGCGCGGGGCATCCGCGAAAAAATGCCGTGGATCCGGGGGGTCGCTGCCCCAGGGGCTGGGCGCGCGAGGCCGCGGATACGGGTATGTGTTTCGCCCACGGGAGGCTGGGCGACGGCAGCGGCGACGACGGAAAAACAAGCAGCATGAGAGCATGAGCACATGAACATAAGCATTCGGAGTTCCGCGCGGATCTCTTACAGACGCCCCTGGGACCCCTGGCGGCGCCTCCGGCGCCGCCCATGGCGCGCTCCACGTGCCAAGGAGCGGAGTCCGCGGAGGCCTGGCGACAGCGGCGACCTTCTCGGTGGGGGCGCCGCGGAGGCCTGGGCAACACTGACAGCCTCTCGCGGTCAAGAATCACGACGGACACAATTTGCATTGTTTCGGCCTCGGGGGACCCTCGGCGGGCCCTGGGACAGGCAACAAAACAACTCGGGATGAAACGCCGGTCCCAGGCAAGGAGTCCAAACCTCTGGGGGGCCACCTTGTGACAAAACACACTGCACTCGGATTTCTGGGTTTCGGGGGGCGGGGGAGCAACAAAAAGTATCAATGAAACGCCGCCGTGGGTCGGCGGCGTGCAGAGGGGGGAGATGAGAGGGGCAGACCTTCTCAGAAGGCGGCGGGACTTCTCAGAAGCTCTCCGGCCTTCGGAAAAAGCCATCTGCGCCTTGGATGGGAAGCATATCAGAAGCCCGGAGGCCTTCTGAGCCTTCCGAGAGGGCAAACGCCCTCTACCCCCCCCCCTATGGGCGCGTCGCCGAATGCGGAAGCCATCAGCGTGTTACTGTTGAAGAGGAAGCACCAAGCTTCCGGACAAAACGAAGTAATCCGCCACCGGGGCTCAGGGTTCAGTTATTTTGCAAGTTGAAAAATTATCCGCCACCGTGCGTGCACGGAGTGGGGGTGCTCGAATGATAGCGTGTTGTCTGGGTGTTTTTTCTTGAGTTTTCCAGCGTCGCCCCCCCTCGACAAAGTCCCCTGGAAACCGTCCCCTCTAAAATTTCTTTCCGACTGCATTTTCGGCTTCCAAGCGGCCAAGATGAACTCCACCTTGGCTTTCAAGACAGCTAAGACGGCATCAAAACGGCTCCATATGACCCAAGCCTGCTGCAGAAGCCCCCAAGACAGCTCAAAGTCAGCTCAAGAGCGTCCCAAGACTGCCTAAGAGAGCTCCACGAGGCCCTCCAAGAGAGCCCGACGAAGCAAAAACTGATGATTTGCCGTAGGTGCTTGCAGGATTTTGAAGTTCTCGCCGAAGACGCCGAGTCGGCCGAAGAGGACCCCAACAGCGACCAAGGAGCTCCCAGAAAGGCCCCAAGACGGCCCTGAAATTTTCCGAAAGGGCACCGGGACGGCCCACACATGCCCTCAAGACGGCCTCCTAATGCCAAGACGGCCTCCTAATGTGTCAGGCGGGCCAAGTCCCCTAAGATAGCTCAGTCAACCCTGGCAAGCCCCAAAGGGGCCCCAGGAGGCCCCGCAGAGACCCCTCAGCGGCTCCCAGGATGGCCCAACAGAGCCCAAAGAGGCCTTTTCCTCGTCCTCATGTTTCCCCGCTCCTCCTCCTGCCCCTCCTCCCTATCGCGCGGACGAAGACGAGATCGACATCACGACCTTCCCCAATTCAGACCACTCGCTGAACAGCGGCGTTGCGTGAACTCGACCTCTTTCCCACCGCGCGGACGACGAGCTCGAGCTCACGACCCGTCGCAAACCACTCGCAAGAATTGCGTCGTTCCTGTGCTCAGCCTCTTTCCTGCTGCGCTGTTGCACAAACATGGAAGCGGGGTTTGCCGCAGGCAGCTTGAGACACGCTGAGGGTTCCCAAAGGAGGCGCGTCACGGATGCTCGTCGTCCCTTTCGAAGGATGGAAGAAACAACAAACGGTATACACATGTGTTTTCGCAGCTCCGCGCGGATTTCTTAAATTTGCGCCGGGGCCTCCCTTGCGGCGCCTCTTGCGCCGCGCCTGGCGATCACCGTGCGCCAAGGAGAAGAGGGCCAGTGCCTATCCAAGAAATCGCCGCGGACCTCCGACAATTTGTGAACACTTATGTTGGCATGATTCGTAGTAGTGTTGCATATTCTTGTTGCGTTATAGGAATAATGGTCGCACGATGCGCCGCATCAGTGTTTTAGCGTTGGAATGTGCATGGGTATTCGTTGTTGCTGATAATACGGAAGCACGCATTAAAGTTGTGACGGTGATGATGATAACGAGGACAGTAATAATGAGGATAACGGCGATGACGACGACGATGGTGGTGACGATGTTGATGATGGTGGTGGTGATGGTAATACTAATGATGCTGATGTTGATGGTGGTGATGCTGATGATGATGATAGTGATGACGATAGTGGCGATGACGACGACGATGACGATGGCAACGACGATGTTGATGATGGCGATGGTGATGATAACGAGGATGATGGTGATAGTGATAGCGATGATGATTATGGCGATGATGATGATCTCCGCGGCTGAATGGGGGCGGGGACTCCTAGCCCGCACAACCCGTCGGACCGAGGCGTTTCCGTTTGGCCCTGCGGAGGCAACGTACGGTCTCGTGCCCAAGGCGCACACGCAGATTCGCCTGAGTGCCGAGAAGCCGCCCCCCGCCCCAGCCGAAGCAGGCGGACAACGACGCCCGAGCAGCCACGGCGACTCAGCCCGCGACGCCCGCGAGCTGGTTCGGGGCCTCGAGTGGAAAGCCCAGGAGGACGCTGGCCGCTGCGATGGCGGTCCGGGAGGCGGCCCCCGCCTCCAGGAGCTCACGCGCAGACAGGAAGCCTGTGCCGCCGCCAAGGCCGCCGCACTCCGACCAGTCCTCGCACGCGCTCACGTCCGCGCCCAGGCCCAGGCCGACCTCGCGCTTGCACTGGCCCTTCGGGTCCTCCAGCCCGCCCTTGAAGAAGCCCCCGTCCTCGTCCAGGTCCAGGCCGAACTTGCGCTTGTACATTCCCTTCTGGTCCCCCAGCGCCTGGGAGGGGGCGCCCTGCTCAAGGGCCTCGACCACCCACGCGCCCGCGGCCCTGAGCGGAGGCTGAGCCCGGTTGAGGGAAACGCCCACCCGCACGTCTGCGAACACGAGCTCGCCCCCCCTCACTTTAAGGTCTGCCCCTGTCTGGGTTCCCCAAGGACGCTTCCGCGCCCCGACGCCAGCCGCTGGGGGGGGAGGGCCCTCACCCCAGGGGCTTCGAACACCCGCGCGTCCCTGGACTGGGGCTGAGCTCGGTCAAGGGCTTCGGCCACCCGCACGTCTGCGGCCTTGCTCCAGAGCCCCCCCCCCCCCCACTCTGGGTCTGCCCGGCAGCGGGCTCCCCAAGGGCGTCTCCGCGCCCCGACGCCGACGAGGGGCCTCTCTCCCCTGGGGTTTCGGCCGCCCGCGCATCCGCGGCCCAGGGTGGAGGCTGGACCTGGTCGAAGGTCTGCGGCCTCGCGCCAAGGTCCTCTGCCCTCCTTTAGGGTCTGCCCCTGTCTGGGCCCCCCAAGGACCGCTGCTGGCCCCGATAGAGGGAGGCGTTTCCGCAGGCGCCTGAGCTCCCTAGGCAACCGCACCCACGGCCTGCCATCTAGAGGCTCCAGCTGCTCGCTGCCGCCCTCCGCGATAGCGTCGACGCAGCCCCTGAAGCTCACGGCGACTGCCGCGAGGTGGCGCCGCGCCCGCGCAGCTCGGACGCCCTCATCTCGGCCGCCTCCTTCAGGCGCGAGGTCGGGCGTGACAGCGCGCATCGCCCCAAAGGCAGCCTCCTCAGCCTCGCCCCTGGGCGCCGCGCGCCCCTCCAGCCGGGGCCCCGCTGGGCACAGCGCAGCTCCGCCGCTCCGGCAGCCGCGATGTCCACGCCATGCGCCTCAGCGTGGAGGGCGACATTACGCCGCAGGCGCTCGAGCCGCGTGGGGGACCCACCCCCAAGCTTGGCATGCAGCGCGGGGAGCATCGCCTGCAGCCGCTGCGCAACCTCGCCGTCGCCGATGACGGCGTGCAGGGCCTCCTCCGCGGCCTCCAGGCGAAATCGGGTCTTGGCCAGCTTGCCCGCCGCCTGACGGCAGTGTCGGCGGACCACTTCGCCCACTCTCGGCCTGCCCTGCGCTGGGCCGCCGATCGTCTTGGCGCGCACTCCACGCCATCCCGTGCCACCATCGCTCCGTGAGCCAAGAGCCCTGCCCCCCCAAGGCCCTCACGTCCGCCTGGGATTGGGGTTCGCCGAGGCTACGGAAAGGGCCTTGAGCCAAAATGGCTACGGATGATGATGATGATGATGATGATGGTGATGGTGATGATGGTGATGATGATGATGCTGCTGATGATGCTGATGATGATGATAATGATGATGATGATAATGATGATGATGATGATGATGATGATCGACCGTACCTGAGGCGAGCCAGTTCGCACGCATCGTCAGCCGCTTTAGATGTAAGTGGCGCGCTGTGCTGCTGCGACGGCGGCTCGATGTTGGCTTGGCGCGAGCTGGTCCCCATGGGTCGCCGCAGCTCTCGCCTTGTGGTAGGTATATAATGCCAGCACGGCCATTCGCAGCGCACCAGCGCGCGGGAACGTGCGGCTCTTGCGGTTGCATTCGTTGTCGGCCGCTAGGCCTGGGAAAGTCCGATGGTAGGAGGGGAGGCCAAAGAGGGAACGGCGGACGGGGCAGGAAAGATAAAGGGCGATGGAGTCAATCTGGGCGGACCCAAAAAGGCAATTAGCGAACTCGCGCTCGTGGCTTCGATGGCTGGTTGTCCAGCCAGCTGCGATGGTCTTCATTATTGACCACTGCCAAGCAGGTCTGTACTTCTTGATCGTAGCAAGACACTCCCCCCACCGCTCCGCCACCCCGCCCACGACGCTATCAACAAAGCCCCAAGCGTTCAGACGCTTGGAAATAGTGACTTCAAGTTTATTGGGGAGGAGAAAGAGGCGGAGGAAAGAGGGGGCCGCATGCTGGAGCTTGGGCTTCTTGCCCACCGCTTGCGCCGAACGAAATACCATGCGGCCTGTTGCATGCAAGGCTCCCCGCTGGACAATCGGGATGCCACAGTGGGGTGGGCGATTCACTAATTCTGCGAAATGCCGGGCGATCCCCTGCTTCTGGATCCAGCAGGGTGCGCTCCACTCTTTGTTGATCCATTCTTCGATGGGGCAGGTCAGCGGCGCCGATTCGCGCCACCTGTCGAGCTCTGCTGCCCATGCAGTGCTCGCGAGAGTGGAGCAGCTGCAATTACTAGCTGCTCCTAGGATCAGGGCAGACTGAGGGGCCACTAAATCGCGCCCCGAGAAAGAAAAAAACATCAGCTTTGCAAAACGAGCAGGCCCTACGGCAACCAGCACGGACTTGACGAGAATGCGCTTCAGCTGTAGGTTGGTCTCCAGCTCGCTGCGCAGCTTGTGCTGCTCGGGCAGCACGTAACTGAATGGCTCGTGCATGTTTGTCGCCAAGTCGATATGGTAGATGCTGGGGCTCATCTCGAGTTTGACGGGCGACCACGGGCATGAGATGTTTCACGTGTGTCCACTTCCGTGCAGGCGAGAACCTTTCCAGTCCATTCGCATTCATGAGGCTGTCGAGTATGATCTTGTAACCGTCCTCCGTGGAGACCACTTCTGGGATGCGCTGCGCTTCCTCTGGGATGTTCTGCTTGGCTCTAAAGGAGGCGTGGCTGATGGAGAGGTCGCTCAGGCGCGACTGGGCCATCTCCACTGGGTCCATGGCAACAGAGAGGTGGATGTCCGTGACAATCAGGTAATGCTCTGGCGTATTTACAAGGAGTCTATCGATGGTCGCTGCTGTGTATTGCTGTCTGCTGAAATATGTTGGCCCCTCCGTTCTGATCTCCTGCATAGAGTCAAATAGGGAACGCCAGAGGGCTTCAGCATGTTGGTATGTACGATGTGTCCGTAGCTGGGCCTGGTCAGGTATCGGGTAATCATAGGACATCGGAACGCCTTCACGGATGTTGATGTCACCTATCGCGATGAGCGTGTGCTCAAGATGATTGCTGCTTGCCCATTGAATATTTTGCATCCATCTGCTATTGATAACATTCTTATCGTTCAAGGAAATGTTGTAGTTGTGGACACTCATGATGCGCATCTGGTAGCGTAGCTCCTGTTGCTTAATAGACAGTTGCGTGGCCCTGCCTGGAGCAAGCACTTCAAATTCGAGAGACGGTCTGGTATCTGCATCGCTGGTGAGCCACGGCACCAGGAATGCCACTCCACCCCTTCGTGCATTGCCAGCGCGCTCAGCATCGGGTAATTCAGATGAATACTGTGATGATTCTTCCGCCTGTGAGCGAAAGACCTTGTAATTGTATGGAGAAGAGGCAACCATAACTTCTAGCTGCTGTCGATCACCATGCGACTCCTGAATCATGATGAGAGCGGATGCCTTCATGGACCTCTCCATCTTGCGCAGCTTGTACTTGCGGCGACGATACTTGTAGTAGCACAGGTCATGATAACTCCACGATACTACTTGGCCACGATGATCTCTAGCCTGTTGTAGCCACGGGCTCCAGCGCTTATTAAATAGATCACCGCGATGTAGATGTGGCCAAGAAGAGCTGTTGAAACTGATCCGTAATAGTGATCTTGTCGATACCCATCTGGTGGGCGACTGCGATGTTCCACCTGAGTTTTGTGGGTGCGCTGGCGCTGTCTCCAACCTCGAGAACCACAAAGGGAATTGAGCTGCAAGGGACAATACCTTCGTCTCCGACTCTTCTGAAGTGGTGATTGCCGTACTTGTCCGCCAGGAGCCTGACCAATCTGTTCGTTTGTAGCTCTCGCCGAAGTGTTTTAGGAGACTTGTCCGCGTTGATGTAAAGGGGGGTGAGCGCGCCAGAAGTGTTTGTAGCCGAGAAATTACGCCACTGACCTCCTGCTCTGAGATTCCGTGCGAGTGAAAGACTGCGCGAGGTGGCTGCTGGTCCACCAAGGACTCTGAGGAAGAAACGCCGTGCAGGAACGTCGCCGATGAGCTCGACATCGTTGGTGGAGACGCCTGCTGCATTGATCCAGGGTTCAAGCGCTCGCTTGACCTCTGCGGGTTGTATGGCCGATGGCGCTCCAATAGTGTAGAGATGGGGGTCTGGAGGTCGATCCCAGACTGCCAGAGCTGCCATGTCAAAGGCGGGTAAAGTAGCTTCCGCCATTGCCAATTGCGATTGAATCCGTTCCACGTCTTGCCGCATTTGTTGTTGTTCCTGCTCCACTGTGTGTGTACGCTGGTTGAGTTCTCGTACTGAGGTGTCGAGGGCGTCCATCCTGCCGCCATGCTGTCGAACGTGTCCGAGTACGAGCTGAAGTTTGCCTTAAAGGGCTTGCTGTGCGTTGCGAATGATGGCCTCGGATTCGTTCTGGAGCCTGGCGGTGGCGGACTCGATCTGGGAGGTGAAGAGCTGGCTGAGGCGCTGCTCCAGCGAGCTGTCGTCGTGCACGAATCCATCTCCAGGTGGGGTAGCCTCGCCCGCAATTGGAGTCGCTGGTGCCATTCATGCAGGCGTTGCAGTAGGCGTGCCGGATGTTGTAGCCGCCTCTTCTGCAGCTCGCGCGGGGGAGACCCCGGAAGCTGGCCCCGGTGGAAGCTGAGACCCCGTCCACGGGTCCTCTTTTTGTAGTGCATCTTCGCCTCTCGGATCGGTTCTTGAACTGGCTGCCCTTGCTGCTGTCGCGGTCGAGGGTCCTCCGCTGCGCGTTGCCCTGCGCGTAGGCGTAGTAGCTGTGGCTGTGCCTGCTCGGCCCGTACGTGGGGGATGAGCTCGTTGAGTATGCCCGCTCTCCTGTTCACGGGGGGCTTCACGTTCACGTTCAGCTCGCCGTCTATCCCGATCTTGAGAAGGAGGGCGTTCAGATCTATGCTTATCACTTCGTTGACCTCTGTCACTACGAGAGTGGCTGCCGTCTCCTCTGCCCTTGTCCCTGCGATCTCGTACTCGCTCTTTGCGTGGCCGTCGACGTCGATCCTTGGAAGCTGAGGAGGAACTGCTGCCGCTACTTTCGCTGGATGTCATTGCGAAATACTCTGCCGTTGTGGGAGGTCAGGCGGGACGCTGTGCAGCGCGGTGTCGTTGTAGTCGTTGCAGATTGTGTGCCGCTTCTCGCCAGCGACCTGGGACACGATATGGAAGCCGTCGAAGCTGATGCTGATGATGATGATGATGATGATGATGATGATGATGATGATGATGATGATGATGATGATGATGATGATGATGATGATGATGATGATGGGTGTGGTGATGGCGGTGGCGGCAGCGGTGACGATTATCAATATTCGATGGAGAGGGGGAACGTGATTGGGGGGGCGGCTCGATAGATCTGGAATCAGCGGTACATCGCCGATAGATCGGCGACAAGCCCGCGATAGCGAATCCACACGTTCCTAGGCGGGGTGAGCTACCGGGCCCCTATCGGCGACGAATGGGCAATTGGGGGTCGATGCGCCCCCCTGAGCAAACCCACCACTAACGTTGCCCATGAGAAGGGATGGAGGAACGATCTCCCCCTCCTCCCCCCCCCCTCCCCCTGAGCGCCCGAGGGAACGGACAGGGCGACGACAGCGACGACCTCGGGGGGGCGTCGCGGAGGCTGGGCTGGGCTACGAAACGCCTGTCTGGACATCGACGCCGTCGCGCCAGCGACCGCTCTGAGAGCAGTCCGGTGATGTGCCCCCCTTCCCAGATGGGAGATTCCTAGACCAGCGGGCCAGGCCCCGAGAGACCGAGCGCGCGCAGGGGCGTCACGGCTCGGAATCGCAGCCCATCCAGGAGGGGGGAGAGGGGCGGGGGGGGAAGGGGAAAATCCTCCTTCCCCTCCCTCCCCCTCCTCCCCCTGAGCGCCTGAGCGACAACGGAGGACGACGACAGCGGGGAGGAGGAAAGAAAGTCCTTCCTCGGCATGCGTTCGGGCCACCCGGAAGCGTCAGCAGGAGAGACCTCCTCCCCCTCCTCCTCATGAACGCATGAACGATGAGTGCTGTCATGGGTGACCCTGGGGCCCCTGTCCATCCTCCTCCTCCTCAACCTTTCCGTCGTCGTCGTGCTCCTCATCCTCCCCCTTCATCCTCCTCCGCAAGCCCTGCCTTCCTCGCTGCTTGGCTTCTTTGGGCCCCCCCTCGTCAACTCCCCCATCCAAGTGGGCCACAAAGGCACCCAGGAGCCACCAGAGAAACCTCCAAGCCCCAGACGCAATGGCGAGAGGGTCGAGGATCATTATAATTCCAGCCTGGCATTAAATCCGCCACTGCCACTTGCCCCCGTCCCCCTTCCGCCTGTTGCGCCCGAGCTGCTCACTTCTCAGAATCGGTGGGATTGGCCTGAATGCCTTTGCATCGCAGCATAGTGACTGTTTGGTTGCCAACGAGACGCCGAGTCACAACATCGGCTCTCAGACTTGTGTTTCCTACTGGTGTCTTCCAGCTGCGTGCATTAGACCAGCGCCTCTAATTTCAAAACCTCGACGATCAGAGATTGAGCGTGGGCAAACAGATGATGTAGCTTGTCCCCGACCGGAAACTCGCACGAAAAAGACAAAATCTGATGACCCCGTCCGATCCGGTATCTCCGACAATAGCCAGGTCTGCATCGCCAGGCTCTCTCCAACTGGCTGGTACGAGTAGCTGAAGTCGTCGTGTCTGAAGACGACCATCTTGCCGTCAGAGAGAGGGATGCCCACGTCGGCGCCGCTCGCACCGTCCTTGGGGTAGAGGACAAATTCCCCGCCCTCGTTGTGCATCCAGACCATCATGCAGAGCCTGAGCTTGCTTCCGAATACGGCTTGGCGCTAGAAGGATCGCGCGCAACGTCGATCTCCAGAACGCACGTTCTCACTGTGAGGCCATCCCCCGAGCGAGGGCAAGTTCTGCGCCCGCCACTTCCCTGCCGGGGCTCCGTCGGTACATGCCATCCCGAAGGTAGGGGGTGGCGTGTGATGAGCGGGCCAGCGGCGCCACGTCGCACGCGATGCTTACAACGCTAACTGTATGTCGCCCACACGCAAAGAGTGACCTTGGGCAAGACGGATCTTTGGTGCACTCTTGGCAGATCGTCGCAGTAGGTGCGACGCCATCGACTCTGCGCTGCCTGGGTGTGGTCCCCCTGGGCACCCCGAAAACCACGCACCAAATGTCACTCCGGCGAAAGGTCACTCTCACGTGCAGCCGAATATCGCACGGGATGCGGCAGGCAAGGAGTGATGGCAACGGCCGCGATGGGGGTTCGGGCGTTGCTAGAAGTGCCCCTGGTCCAAGGTGCCCCCATGATTTCCGAGGCGGCCCCCGCGGCCTCCAGAGCAGAGCACCCCTCACAAAGCCCAGAGGGCCACATGGGGCTCCAACTTGGCGCGAAGAGCTGGAAGCGCCTTGGGCCAGAAGCACCTTTAGTAACCCCCGAGGGGTGAGGAGCGGTCCTCAGGAAAGGCTGGACAACGGTCTGGGAGGTCATGCGGATCACACCCGCGTACACAAGATCGCGGATTATGAGGCGCAGACAGAAGAGAGAGGAGCGACAGGGGAGAGCGGAGGAAACGATGAACGACACGCTGTCGGGCCAACCACCTTGCGCAGCAGTGGACTGACAGCTCAGTGCATGTGATCACGACGTGACCTGCGAGCGCCACAAGGCAAACCCAGACATTCGACGTCGTGATCAGAGTGAGGGGGCCGAACGGTCATTCATTGTCCCTGGGTGCGTGGCTGAAGTGAGATTCCGCGGTGCGGATTCGTGTTGTTGTTGTTGTTGTTTGTTGTTGTTGTTGTTTGTTGTCGTCGTCCCACCTGCAACCCGCCCCGCGACCCACCCGCGACCCACCCCGCGACCCACCCGCGACCCACCCGCGACCCACCCGCGACCCACCCGCGACCCACCCGCGACCCACCCCGACCCACCCCGCGCGACCCACCCCGCGACCCACCCTGCCCGCGACCCACCCGCGACCCACCCGCGACCCACCCCGCGACCCGCCCCACCCCGCGACCCACCCGCGACCCACCCCGCGACCCACCCCGCGACCCACCCGCGACCCACCCGCGACCCACCCGCGACCCACCCCGCGACCCACCCGCGACCCACCTTCGACCCAAACCACGTTCAAGGTACAAACCAACATTTTCGGCGCCTGCGGCGGGCTTTTTTTGCATTCCTTCCAGGTGGAGAGCCCGCGACCCACCCCGCGATCAACTCGCGACCAACCCGCGACCCAAACCACGTTCAGGGTACAAACCACATTTTTCGGCGCCTGCGGCGGGCATCTTTTGAATCGTTCTAGGTGGAGAGACCGCGGCCCACCCGCGACCACGTTCAGGGTACAAACCAATTTTTTCGGCGCCTGCGGCGAGCATTTTTTGCATTCGTTCCCGGTGGAGAACCCGCGGCCCACCCGCGACCCAAACCACGTTCAGTGTACAAACCAATTTTTTCGGCGCCTGCGGCGGGCTGCTTTTGCAGGAGGACGAGGAGGGGGAGGAGGAGGAGGAGGAGGAGGAGGAGGAGGAGGAGGAGCAGCAGCAGGAGGAGGAGGAGGAGGAGCAGCAGGAGGAGGAGGAGGAGGAGGAGGAGGGGACGACGACGATGACGTCGACGACGACGACGACGACGACGACGAAAAGGAGGAGGGTGGAGGATCGGGAGGGGGGGAAGAGGAGGAGGACGACGAGGAGGAACATGACGACAATGGGAGGACGATGATGGAAGGACGAGGGGGGGAGAGGGAGGACGAGGAAGAAGCGGAGGAGGAGGAGGAGGACGAGGTGGAGGAGGAGGACGACGATGACGATGAGAACGAGGACGAGGACGAGGAAGAGGAGGAGGAGTAGGAGGCGGAGGAGGAGGAGGAGGAGGAAGAGGAGGAGGAGGAGGAGGAGGAGGAGAAGGAGGAGGAGGAGGAGGAGGAGGAGAGCGCCATCGACAAGGAAGGTGGAGGCCACGAGGTCCGCCGGCTTGACGACGCCCGCGTCGCCCGCGCCCGCCCCCTCACTCTTATCCGCAATTGCGGGGTGCTATATATTTCACGACGTGGCTCTAGGTCTGGACCCCTTCCGAAGAGCCGGCTTTGTTTGTCATCCTGAGTCGTTTCTTGGCAGTCCCGGGGCCAGTGAGGGCCCCCAAAGGCCGATAATTTGCAAAAGCCCTCCGTCGAGAGGTTTTGCTCACAACCAGAGGATGTCAGGAGGTGACAAGTTAGGCGCTCATCATCACCAGAAGGAACGCGCGTTACTCTCTTCTCAGGGCTTGTGAGCAGCTCGGGACCCGCAGGCACCACAGCGGTGGCGAGCACCTCAGCCCGTGCCACCAACACAGCCGTCCATGTGGACACTTTCGCACGCGGGCCGTACAAGGGCATGACCACCACAACTTCCACGATCATTATGATGAACGTGGGGACAACTGCTGGGCAACCCCATGTGAACCCTGCCCCTGCGGTCCAGTTTCTGAAGCGCCGGCTGGGGTTCAGAATTCTAGGGATGTCTGCGGGGTGTCCGATACCACAGCACCGAATGGACCTGCAGGTTTACGGTTCGCAAGTTGTCGCGGAGCAGTGCTAGCGTGCACCGAGAGGCCCGTGGACACCACTGATTTTCTAGGAGCTGCCGCTCCTGATTGACTCCGCGGGAGCAACTCAAGGAAATGGAGCACCACTCCTCCTGTGCCCACCAACGTGTCCGTGAACACAGCAACACCTGTGAGCGAGTCAAGCCCGAGATCCGACATTGCAGACAAACAATACAACATCACAAAAAATCACAACATGAGCCCTGGGCCCAGTCTGTACGCTGCAACATTCGAGGCACATCGATCCGTGAGGGTCCCCGGGCCCGAAACTGGGCAAGGTCGAACGTCATGAAACGATTGCAACGCCAGGATCCGAGGGCGAGCCTGTAGACAGCGCAGTGCTTGCCCGCACCGTCGCGGCCGCGAGCACCTCGCCGCCCCGCAGCACCGCCGTGCCCGAGAAAGGCACGGGGAGGTGCGAACGGCCGCCAGAGAGACCCGCGTGCGCCACACCGCTGACCGTGGGCGTCGCGGGTCGTGAGCCCGCACGGGCCCACGGAGTCGCGCACGTGCGCCGTGCTCGGTCGGCGGCGGCGGCGGCAGTCCGCCGCAGCAAGCAGATCCCTGAGACCATCGCGTCGCAAATGTCTCGCGTCGCAGCGGGCGCTCTTTTGCCGTGCTTCGGGGCCCGGGGCCACGGATCGATGCTGCTCACAAGAAGCCGCTCAAAGACGGGGTCCAGGGCTCCGGTCGAACTTGTTTGTCGACGATTGCATGTTTGTTCGTGACGTCGGATCACACGGAAGTGAGCGTGTACGGAGCGGAGCGAGCAACCAAGTCGCCTGACTCCGCGCACCGCGCGATGCGCGGCCATTCAGGATCTTCTGACCCAGGTCAATCCAGACCCGGGTCAGTCAGGCCCTGCAGAATCCTGCAAGATCCTGCACCCGAACCTGGGTCAATGCGAAGGATCCTGCAAGATCCTGCAGTATCCTGCACGACCCTGGCCCTGCAGGACCATGCGCAAGATCGGGCGCTCTGGCTGACCCCCGTTTGCATTGACAGTGCAAGCAGGGGTCAGCCAGAGCGACCGATCTTGCACGATCCCCGTCTCTGAGAGCCCCGTCTCTTGAGCCCCGAGACATCTTCGCGCCCTCGCACCTGGGCGCCGGCCCCCCTGGAGAAGGGCAGCTCTCCAGCCCAGCCCGCGACTGGCGAAGCGCAATGCATTCTCGCGCTTCTGCGGGCGACCGAGATGCAAGAGGAGGAGGAGGAGGAGGAGGAGGAGGAGGTGAGGAGGAGGAGGAGGAGCGAGAGCAGGGCCAGCAGAAGTGGCATGGAAAGAGAGGACGGATTCTTGCACGTGCGGCACCAAGACATCGGCTCGCCATGGCAGGCTGCAGAACACAAACGCTGCTCGAGGCGAATACAGGACGAGGACAAATCCGGACGAGGACAACTCGGGAACCTCTGAGCAGGTCTGCAGGGTGCATCCGAAACGCGGCCGTCCAAGAATCTCAAGAAAGTCCTGAGAGTGCTCTGGAAAGCTCTAGAGCGCTCTACCCTCAAACTATACGCATGCCATGGCACGCTGCAAAACACAAACATGATTCTCGTCTGGCTGCCTTTTCTGGCACGCTCGAACTGGCACCGACTCACGCTCGCCGTGGCGACCTCTTCGGCCTCGCGGAGTAGTCGGCAGGGGATTACAGGTGGCGTTTCCTGCAGCGGCCGCCTTAAGCAGCGCTTCAGCAGCGCTTCAGCAGGGGCTTTCGCAGGGCTTTGCGTGCCCCTCGAAGGCTACCACGCACTCGTTTCGTCATTTGCGCGCCTCTGTGCTGACCGCATGTGGGATCACTTTGGTGGGCTGCCCCGAGAGCTCTGGCCTAGGCATGCAAGCTGAAAGGCCTGAACAGAGAATCGAGGAACAACGCGTGCTGGGGCGAGGAGCTTCACAGACAGGGGAGAATGGCAGGATCAATCAACATCGAATCGGGAAATCGGATCGGATCGGAACGTGCAGAAATCGGCCGCGACCGCACGGAGTCGGAATCAAATCGGATCGGCCGCGCCGCCATACAACAATTGGGCCGCAACAGGTCGTCAGAGTACCAGAATCGAATCGGATCGAGCCGCCCGAAAGCGAAATCGAATCAGATCGATCAGATCAACATGGACCCTGCCAGTCGTGAAACAGGTGATAAGATGTAAAGGCAGAGGGGTGAATGAGTACGCATCAGATCTCAAGACTGCCACACCTTCCCCCGCCTTCCTCTCTCCCCCCTCGTCCTCTCTTCTCCTTCCTTCCCCCTTACCGTACCCCCTACCACCCCCCTGCTCACTCCCCCTTCCCAGTCCTTCTCACCGTCGTCTATCATCCCGTACTACCACAATATCATCCGACGTCGCATCTTGTTCGGGTTATGCCCCCGGGGATCTCGACCTCTTCTCAAGCTGCCCAAGGGCAGGCGTTTCATGCTGAACCGTTTGTTGCCTGTCCCAGGGCCGAAAGCGGCCTCCAAGAGCCCAAAACGCACAACAAATGGCCGTCGCACTCCTCCTCCCTCACTCGGACACACGCGAGCACGGAACATGGTACGGATGTTCGGATCTAGCGCGCGGGCGCCGGATCCACGGATCGGGAAAGGTGTTCCTGCTCTCTATGCCCTAGACTCTCTCATAATCCCGTAGAAACCCGCATATCCTCCTACCCTTCAAGCATAATCTCCGAACATTCCTCGTCCACCTCCCTCCTCCGTACGCTCCTTCCTCCCTCACGCTGATCCTCCTTCTCCTCCTCATTATCCTCCTCATCCTCCTGCCCATCAGCCGCGCCCCATCCCGCTATGCCCTTCCTCCTCCTCGAGGATCTCCGCCCGACATCGATCTCCAGAACTATCCCGCGGTCCATCTGAACTAGCTGCTCACCCTGGCTCGTTTTTACTTGCGGTCCCAGGGCCCAGCCTCCTCCTCTCCAAGCATCAATCGTCGGCGTCTTTCACAACGAGGCCCCCCAGAGGTCTGGACGCCTTCTCTGGGACCAGCTCTTCCTTATAAGCAGTGCTTGGACGGTGGGGCTGCGCGAGGGCCCCCGTCCTGTCCTCATGCCCCGTCCTTCTGTCCTCCTGCCCTCTTGCCCTCCGCCCCCCCCCCCTCTCCGCCTCCCCCTCCCGTCCCCCCGTGCTCGTGGCGCGGCAGCGGCCTCCGCCTCTCCAGAAAGTTCAGGTGGCCGCCAATCCGCTCGGTGGGCCCCCTCGCCTCTCCCAGGGCCTGGGGGGCCCGGGAGGGGGGGCGGCGCCCCGTGGCGGGAGCGACCAGCCTCGGGGAGGGACAGCACCCCCTTCGGCATATAACGCGATTCAGCGAAAACGGCCTCGGGCCCCAAACTTGGCCGGCGCAGGCCTGGAAAAGGACGGCCGCGGCGCCCTCTCGAGAGCCGGAAACGGACGACTCACCCATCGGCGTGTCAGGGGCGGGGGGTTCTGCCCACCCCCGGCAGACACCTGCTCCCTTAGGGAGCAATTCTTGGGAGGTCCTCGCAGAGACGACTCAGGGATGTGATGGACCCGAAAGACGGGCCAATAAACCAGGGCTTAGCTGGATGAGAAGGTACTCGTCGGAATTCGGCGGGATTATGCCACCCTAGTTCCCGTCTGCGACGGGGAGCGTCGGGGGGGACTGGCGCAGGGGGGGACATCGACCTGGAATCGGCGACGCATCGCCGATGGGTCGGCGACCGCCGATACACAATCCGCACGTTTCTGGGTGGGGGTGGGCCATCCGGCCCCCATCGACGATCCAAGGGCGATTCGGGGTCGACGCTTCCCACCCTGAGCCCATTCCCCCTTAACTTTGCCTCTGGGGGGGGGGGCTCCGTGGCTGGAGGCAGGACACCCGCCCCCCGGCAAAACGACATGTCATGGAAAGAACCAATCGAAAAACCAGCCCGGCTAACCATCCCGCCAGCCCCGACCAATCCCCTGGCCAACGAAGGCCAAGCCTCCAGGCCAACTCCTCTGGGTCATTTTCCCAATTGTGACAGAATGATATGTTTGTGTGCCTTGCCGAGCATCGAACAGTCGCAAACTTATTGAGGCCATGGCAGGATTCAGCCAGACATCCTGATCAGAACGCGCCTCAGGAACAACATGTGTGGAAACGTTTTCTCTAGGGTGAAAAATTCGATTGACACAATTTGTTACTGATGCGCCTCGGGGAGTTCGGGATTTCTAACAGCCTTCGTGCGGGTTACACTTTGTGTCGAATAATGTATGCTCTGCCTGGCGACGCTGGCCGGCCACCATTCGCAATCGAGTGGTCGCCCGTGGGGGCTATTTGGCACGTGCTGATCCCCCTTCTCGTTGCCGACCGCGGGGGGGGACGGTGGCGCACCGCCCCGTCGCCCGCCGCCGCGCACTGCGCGACTCGGCGGATCTCCAAAGACCTGGTAAGTCAAATCACGCGCGACTCCGGAAAATTCTCCGAAGGTAGATCCGGAAATCCAAAAACATTTTGAAAATGCCCGGCCTAGGTTCAGAATCCTGGGGTCAATTTTGAAAAAATCCGGAGCCGATTTTGAAAATTCCCGGATCTCCGAATTAATCAGATGTCCTGTGCGGTGGGGGCATTCCACCCCTCAAAACTGTTTCTTGAGAAATTCTGGCCTCCCTTTGAAAAATTCAGAAACCGCTTTTGCAAACTAACGGCCGCGCGTCTTCTTTTGTTTGGAACAACTCTACAATCCGACACAATAATTTCGGGGCGGTCTGGCGGGCGCGATCGGCTGATTCACGCACCGCGCCGCGTGCGATTGGGCGCAGCGCGCGTCGCGCCCTGGGCCCGCGAACAGCACTCGAAGGGGTCACCTCGAAAATCGCGCCACGGCAGCTGCGACTCGCGGACTCCTCAGGAGCAATACAAAATGATGCTTGGAATCTCCGAGGGCGCTCCTATGCGCGAACATGCACCACGCACATCACTGGAGCCCGCGCGGAAGGACGGGAAAACCAAGAACTCTTGAAAACTATCAATATCAATACTTCATGCTCCTCTGATTATCCCTCTGCATGTGGCTCCAGGGACGGCTTCTCGTCGCCAGCTCCGAGCCTCGATTGTTGCCCCCCCCCGACGTCAGTCTTACAAAGCCTTAAGAACACCAGAGAACGGATCTGAGGCCGTCAGCAGCCCCGCAGGGCGCGCGCGGGCAGGCCCGCGCTGAGTCTCCTGCATCCGCGCAGAGCGCACAGCGCGGCCCTCTGTTCATGCACAGCGCACCGCGGTGCAGTGCAGGCGGGTAGAGGGGGGCTGTGGAGCAGACGCGCACTGTGTTTGTGTCTGGGCGAGAGAGGTCGCCCCGTGGCTCAGGAGGAGGAGGGGGAGGAGGAGGAGGAGGAAGAGCAGCATGGGAGGGAGGAGAAGAGGAGAGGGCAGCAACAACAACAGCAAAGCAAGGCAGGCGCGGCCAGGCCGGGGCCTCAGCGCGCCACGGCTCTGCGGGGCGCCCGCTCACGCCGCGCGGCGGCTGGACAGACCGTCGCCGCGCGGCCGCCGCTCGGGCCGCCTGAGCCTTAGAAGGCGCGCCGGGCCTCACGGCACGCCTCGCGGCCAGTCTACCGTTGCTGCCCTGAGCTGGAGCACCGCCGAGTGGGCCCCAGGGACCGTGCGCCAAGACTCCGCCCGCGCTCGCAGCGCGGCCGCACCAGCCTGGGCCCAGCAGAGCGCCGCGGCAACATCCGCGGCGCTTCCGCCGGCCGCCAGAAAAACGGTCGCTGCCGGTCGCGCCCGCCGCACTGGCCGTGCCCGCCGCCGCGCCACAAGCGGCCGGAACACCGCCGCCGCCAGCTGCCACCGCTGGCTGCGCCGCCGCCCGCCTCGAGGCTCCACCGGCGGCGTCGCCTCCTGCCGGGCCGGCAGGTCGCTCGCGCGGCGGCCTGCGCGGCCGCCCCGACGCTGGCGTCGGCGCTGCGCCGTGCGCCAAGGGCCGGAAGCCCCGTCGCTGCTGGCAGCTTTGCCTGCCGCAGCCGTTGTGGCTGCGACGCCGGCGCCGCGCGCGTGCGGCTCGTTGAGCTGCAGTCGGCCCTATCGAGGGCGTCAGCCGAGCGGGCAGGGCGCTGCGTCGGCACGCGGGGGCCTGGCCAAGGCCGTCCCGTCCTCGGCAGCCCGATTCCCGTCGCTGCCTCCTGGAGCAAGCTCGCACGGATGCGCTGAAGTCCCTCGAGGAGCACGATCCGCGTGAGAGGTCTGAGGGGTGTGCTCGGACGCGGGGGCTCCCACGCGAACTGACCCACTGAGGCCGTAGGTAGAGCCCCCTGTGGGGGCACGACAAGTGTGAGGGGTGCGCGGAAATGAAGCCGCCAAGCATGCAAGCGTTGCCACTCGGGCCTGCAGCTCCCCATTGGGCCATGAGAGGTGTGAGTGGTGCCGGACGCGGGTGGCGCATTTTTTACAGGGGGGCGCTACCGCCAGAAACGCCGTGCCACTTGTTTTCCAGGGGGGCGCCAATGCCATGTGCGCCGTGACGCGTTGGTTGGAGGGGGGCGCTCATTCCATGTACGCCTTGACACATGTTTTGCAAGAAGGAACGCTTCTGCCATGTAGCGGGTTCGGCAAATCCTGACCCTAAAATGTTGTAATCTCTTTGGGTGCTATTCTGACTTCCGCTGGCTTCCGCTGGCCTTCCGCCAACTTCCGCTTGAGGAGCTGGTCTTGTTTTACTTCCGGAAGCTTCTGCTGGCATTCCGCTCATCCTCAAATGCGATGCCCATTCCGGAGCGCCTCATGTGCGCCGCGACACGCTGTTTTGCGGGGGGCGGAAACGTTAGCTCAGCCGTGAAACTTTGTTTTCAGGGGGGCTCACGTCACGTGCGCCGAGTCTTTGTACGTACATGTCGCGTTCTGGCCCTCCGGATTGTGGGGGACCGCAAGGTAGGCCCCAAGACGCTCGAACTGGCCCCTCTCACAACGGGGACCCAATACGCTTGCGACGCCTGGCTGTCCTGAAACCCTGCTGGAGCCCAGAGGGCACTGAGTGGCTCCTGAGTTTGCGCCGTGGCACATTCTTGTGCAAGTGGAGGTAGCGCCACGTGCGCCGTGACAGATGTTTTTGCAGGGGGACGCGCCGTGACACATGCGTTGAGGGGGATATCTCTCCCTATCGAGCCACAAAGCCTGTGAGGTGTGTGCCGAAATGACGCGGTGGCGGGATGCGGGGTATCGCCACTGCGGGTACGTAGGCCTTCCTGCGGGGCCACGGAACCTGTGAGGGGGTGTGCCGACGTCGCCACTGGGGCCCTCGGTGGAGCTCCCTGAGGGGCCACGATACGCGTGAGGGGTGTGCCGACATGATGACCCCCCTGGACCGCATGCGGGACATCGCTACTCGAGCCCGGTGGAGCTCCCCGAGGGGCCACGAAACGTGCGAGGGACGTGGCGCCACGGACGCGCGGAGGGTAGAGACAAGGACGAGAGAAGGCAAGCAGAGGGCAGAAGCAAGAAGCGAGCCAACCCGCGAAACCTTGGCCCGAGCAGTAAAGTACAACGTGCGCACACATCGCGCAGCGTGCAACATCTGGCGCTCTCTTTGGGAGAGCGCCACCCATTCATGCGCACGGGTCCTGGACCCAGGATCCGCCTGGCCAGGACCGGTGCACGTGCACGGCTGGCGCCCTCCGACCGAGGACGGGGGAGGGCGCATTGCCTAGGACGAGCCTCCCGGGCCAGCGCGGCCCGAAAGTCTCGTGGAGGTCTCCCGAGGTCTGCCCCACAGGGCCAGAAGCGTCCAGAAGCCTCCCTACTCCTTGCGTCCTCGGCGTGCTCTGATCCCGCCCCGCGTGCACGGCTGGCGTCCTCCGACTGGGGACGGGAGGGCGCATTGCCTCCGACGAGCCTCCCACGCCGGCGCGGCCCGAAGACTCCTCACTCCTTGCGTCCTCCGCGTGCTCTGATCCACGGACGAGACGGGCCCCGAGGGAAGCGGGCCCTGGACCGCTGGGCCTTCCCCAGGACCGGCCCTTCACCCCATGCCGTCTTCTGACGGGATCTCGGGGCCCAGGGAGGGCCCCGAAAGCCCACGCTCGTCACGAAAACCCACAGGACTCCTCCTCCTCCTCCTCCTCCTCCTCCTCCTGCTCCTCGAAAGGCAAGCTCATGCTACGCATTTCTCATGAAACACCCTCCTGGTGCCACCCCGCCTGGCGGCCACTTCTAGCCTCCCCGCGCCCGCTGAACCCCCCTCCCTCGCAGAATCCGTCAGCATCGAATCGAGAAGTCGGACCACATCGGAATGCGGATTGGGTCGGGCCACATCGGCACGGAGTCGGATTTGAATCGGATTGGCCGCGCCAGGGTGCACAAAAGAGCTCCTGCGAGCATCGGGCCGCATCAGATCGCCAGAGCATCGGGATCGAATCGGATCGAGCTAGCGGGAATCGAAATCGAATCGATCGCAGCGATCGGATAGACATGGGCTCTCCAGAGATTGGCGGCGCGCACAAGGGGTTGGGGGAAGAGGGGAGGGCTTCTTAGAAGAAGGCCGCTCATTAGAAGGCGCCGGCCCTACATCTACAGACAATACGCCTTCTAAGACATGAGCGCTTCTAAGAAACCTTCCCCCTCCCCGAGCCCCTGCAAACGGGGTGTTTGTAAACGGGGTGGTAGCTAAGGGTGCGTTCTCACTCGTGCCTTCGTAAAATTGATTTGCCGCGCGCAAGTGCGAGGAAATCCCCCCCGCCCAGAGTGATGATGATGCATCGACGATTTGATCGTCCCAGTGTATCGCGCGTTAGTGCAAGTAAGTGCCCTGTGAACCTGCACTCGCTCGCAGAGGCCCCTCAGCCACCACCCCGTTTACTAACACCCCGCTTACAGGGGCTTGGCCTCTCCCCGCCCCCCTCTGCGCGTGGCCGATCCAGGCCAATGACTGGCGGCGCTCCTCAGCGCCCCTCAAACGGGGACTCCACTAACGGGTACTTTGGCCAGTGACCCAGCGAACCCAACCCTTCCCGATGCGGGCAACGCTGCATTGCCAGAAAGAGGCCCTAAAGTGGCAACTTTCTGCAAAATTGCAAAGTACCCGTTAGTAAGTACCCGTTGCGATGTCGCATAGCTCCACCTGGCACGCCCCGCGCCGGAGTCGCCGCCATGTCGACGCGGCGCGGACCCACCGACCCTGCGGAATGTACCCCATAAGCCGTCCAGGCAGCGTCCCCCGTCCGCCATGGCCTGGCCCCTCAGCGTGGCGATCTCGTCCACGCTGGCGTGGACCCGCACCATGCTGCTCATTCTTCCCCAGGCGTTGAAGCCTCGCAGGAGCATTGCCAATGCAGGAGGCCAGCTCCTCCCACTGTTCCTCCGCCTTTTCTTCTTCCCCCTCCCGTGCCATGAACGGAATGTCTGCTAGGGCGTTCCCGTGGGGCCAGATTAACGTCCCAAGTCGTTCCGTGACGGCCCCAGGGCCCAGAAACGCCAGAGGCAGAAAAACAGCGAGAGAACGCATGGCCCGTTTCCCCCAGGACCCCTTTTCTTCATGCAGACCTCCTGTTGCTCCTGCTCCTCCTCCTCCTCCTCCGCCTCCTCCTCCTCCGCCTCTTCCTCCACCTCGGCATCCCCCCTAAGACCGCCCCCCCAACCCCCCCCTTGGGATGTGATCGCGGCCAGAATTGCGAGCGGGAAGAGACCGGCCGTGGCGACGAGAGGCCCCAAACGCCCGAACAGTGCGCAGAGCCGCGGACAGAAGAAGCTCAACCCTCGAACCTCGATCCCCGAGGCCAGCGCAGGGCGAGCAAAAGCTCCAAACACGTCGCGCGCTGGCTTGGTTCAGCACCCAGCCCCGGGAGCACGTAGGCCCCAAGGCGCGAGGCGGGAGGCCGAGCCTCCCAAGCTTCCTTGTTGTTTCTCTCCCTCGCGCTCCCGCTCTCCCGCTCCCAACTCTCCCGTTCCTGATTTTTTTTTTTTTTTTTTTTTTTTTTTTTTTTTTTTTTTTTTTTTTTTTTTTTTTTTTTTTTTTTTTTTTTTTTTTTTTTTTTTTTTTTTTTTAAAAAAAAAAAAAAAAAAAATCTCTCTCTCTCTTTCTCTCTCTCTCTCTCTTTTTTGTTTTCTCTCTCTCTCTCTCTATATATATATATATGTATGTATATGTTTATCTCTTTTTTGTTCATCTCTAAATATATATATATATGAATATTTATACACATGCATGTAGCTCTAAAAATATCGCTCTCTATCGCTCTATCTCGCTCTCGATCGCTCGATCTGTCAGAGTGATGGGTCCGAACGGTCATTCATTGCCCCTGGGCGCGTGGCTGAAGTGAGGTTCTGCAATGCGGACTCTTGTTGTTGTTGTTGTTGTTGTTGTTGTTGTTGTTGTTGTTGTTGTTGTTGAACGTTCACTACTGAAGAATTCTTGACGGCGGGGCTCCTGGTTGAAGCCCACAAGTGCAAGGGAATCGAGGCGCCATCCGGAATCGACGTCAGGCAACATCTAGCCACTGCCCCCGTGGACTTCACTGACAATGGCACCACGACGACGGTCACGGGCCTTCCGGCGGCAAATGATCAAGCGGACTTGTGGACCGGACAGCGCTGCGCTGTGCACTCCCTGGAGCTGCCCCTGCAAGTGCAACTTCAAAACGGCGCTGGTTCCAGCCAGCAACCACGAGTGGTGGAGACGTGCCATGGACTACACTCCTTTCGGCTCCTCCGCTGTGCGCCCTCAGTGGCCTTACCTCGGCGCCTGCATCGTATCTCGGGCCGCCGAAGGAGAGATCCTGCCGCCCCGGGGCACAAGGACCCGAGGGCAGCTCGACGCCCTCGTCGCGGGCACTTGGGGCAAATCTCTCCCCAAGCTCCGGGACCGAGCCATGGCCCTGCACCTCGCCAGTATGTCACCCACCAAGACTGCCCTTGCCTGGAATACTTATCTTATTGCGCTCATCCCCTACCCCTCGCACTACTCCCTTCCCGACACCGTTCATGAAAGGACGCTCCGGGCCCACCTTAGAGTCGCTCTCGGCCTCGCATCCGCCTCCTGGATTCCCGACAACATGCTCACTGGCCTGGGCATCCGCTTCCAGGTTCCCGGCTGGCCTAAGTGCCCGGTCGCCACCTCGCGTGCAATCGCGGCCAGGGCACACGCCCTGCACGACGTGTGAGGCCCGCCACATTCGCGGCACAAGGCTGGGAGAAGGTGGAACAAACTCGTGAAATGGGCTCGGGAATTTTCCCCCGCGGCATGAACCCCACAGACCCGGCTCCAAGGTACTGACCGACTCCAGGGCTGCTGACTTAACCGCACGCCGATGATAATAAAGGGACCCCCCCCCTTCAGTGTTTAGAGTTGATTATCGTCGCCCTGTACAAAATTCAAATTGGGCGGCGAGCGCTGAGGCCGAACTTCATTATCACCTCGAAACGCTATGTTGAGATAGCAACATCAAGCGATGTTGCTATCCCCGCGCGCGCCTGAACTTTTTTATTTCTGGGGTTGATTATCCATGGAAAGGGGAGCACATGAGCTACCCTACATGAGCACTTAAAAAAACAATTTTCATAAAGCGCTTGTAAATTAAAATTGATAGATTTGGAACTTTCCATTGTTCCGTTCTTTTTCTCTTATTAGTATTATCTTATTCTTCTCTTCTTATTATTTTTCTACTTTCCTCATCTTCTTTTATATTTCTATCTGTCCTCACGCTCGCCTGAACTTTTTTATCCCTGGGGTTGATTGTCCATGGAAAATGAAGCACATGAGCTACCCTACACGAGCACTTAAAAAATCAATGTTCATAAAGCGCTTGTAAATTAAAATTGATAGATTTGGAACTTTGGATGTTTCCTTTCTTCGTCCTCTTCTTATTATCCTCTTCTTCTTCTTTCTTATTATTCTTCTACTGTATTAGTCTTCTTTTATATTTCTCTCTGCCCCCACGCTCGCCTGAACTTTTTTATCTCTGGGGTTGATTATCCATGGGAATTGAGGCACATGAGCTACCCTACACGAGCACTTACAAAAAAACAATGTTCATAAAGCGCTTGTAAATAAAATCGAATAGATTTGAAACTCGAGATTTGTTCTTCTCTTCGTCCTTCTCCTCCTCTCATCATTTCTTTTATTTTATTCTTTATTAGTTTTATTTTTCTTTTTTATATATAGCTTCCGCCATTCCAGCGAGATAAGCTATTGTTGAGGATATTTCTATGAAAACTAAACGCCAAGGATGTCTCAAAACGTGCTCGGCCTGGTCTCCTCTTGATCATCTCTTACTTCGAGATTATGCTGAGGTCTGCTGGGCTACTTTTATTATCTCTCCCTGAACCCCGAACTTTATTATCCCCTAGTGTTTATTCTCACGGGCATGAGGTTAATCAATCGTGCGGTGAGAGAGCCCCCCCCGACTGCGGGCTCGCTACTTCGGTCGCGTGGTCTATGTTGCGGCCTGGGCGCAGCTCCACGGGCACATCGTCAACAGGTGGTTCACCACAACCAGCGACGAGCGCAGATGGGCACAGACAGATGGCGCGGAATGGTCTCTCCTGGGACACTGTGCATCCATTACCGAGGCACACCACGTCCTCCGACTCCTGGCCAATGGGCTACCCGGTTCTGCGCGCCGGCGAAGCGTGGCAGACAGGATCCCCCACCAATGCAACTGCGGCGGGCCGGCCAAGAGAGTTTGGCTCACGGCCGGCCAACGAGATGACGGACAGGCCTGGTGTGACACCTGCCTCGGGCTCTTGAGTGGTGAGGCCGCCCTTTGGCCTCTCCTAAACGACGACGCCCTCCCCGAAGACCTGCGCCCACTCGCTGCCGAGCGAAGAAGGCACCATGCCAGCATTAGCGTCTCTATGCGGCAAGGACTCTACGGAGCCTGTCCTCTCTGTGGTCTTGGAGAAGCCACAGCCGAGCACGTATGGCGCTGGTGCCCCGCGGCTGCCCATGCCTGGGAATGAGCTAGAGGCCCGGACCGCCCCAGGGACCTAGCCACGGCGATGTGCACTAGGGGACAACACCAGAGGCTAGTTTGCCGCCTACTACACCAGCTCTCCTTCAGGTACTGCGTGAACTTGGACTGCGCCCCCATTGGCGCCGACGAAGCCGCCGGGCTCATCGCCCAGGGTATCGCCGTGCCCGACTCCGACCTCCAGGAAGACGACGAAGCTGACGATGACCTGCACGGAGGGCAGCCTCCAGTCGCCCCGGCAGACGAAACCGCAGTCTGGGCCCCAATGCTCGACCCCTGTCAGCTGCGCAACCCCCAAGGGCCGCGCCTACGGCGCATCCGAGGGGCCGCCGGACCGCATCTCGGCAGACAAGCACCACGCGCCGGAGGGGAAATCCGACGCCTCCCTATCACAACGAGAGCCACACGTAGTGGGGACAGGCTCGCCGTTCTCCAAACTTGCGACCCCAGAGCGGGCTGGATGCCCCCTGGGGTGGGCTGGTTCCCATGCCCCAGGACAGACAGGGACCCCAGTGCCCTCTGGACCAAGGCTTATTGCCGACTCTGTGACCAACACCCTCGTGCTCAGGGCCGGCAGGGATATGGACGCAGGCGAGGAAATCACTGTCAGAGATTCCCCGCCCCCCGCCGCCGACTCTGCCCAATGGCCCTATGAGCTCGCGTTCGATGGGGGAGCGCGCCGAATAGGAGAGGGGGGCAAAGTCTCCGGTGCGGCTGCGGTTCTTTGGAGACACGACCCACGCCGCGGCTACCCGCGCGTCGTCGCGGTCGCTGTGGTTGCCCTCCCAAGCTGCGACAACGCACAGACGGCTGAGGCCTCAGGGTGCAGAGCTGGCCTCGCCCTGCTCCCCCACGTCGAAGGCTCGCTTCGTGGTGTCAGAGTGGTCGGCGACAACCTGGCCGCCATCCGATACGGGGCCGGCGCCGGACGCTATCGGCGGCTCCATCTGGCGCAACAAATGGATTTCGCCCTCAGGCAAGCCAGTAGTCCGGCTGGGCCCTTACATGGCAGGCGGTACGACGCCAGCTCAACAAAGCGGCCGACCGCCTCGCGACACTAAGGGTCTTTTGGGCCAACGCCCTCAGGCACGCTGGTGATCACGCGGTCACCACCTGGGTCGTTTGGGAAGGTACCCATCGCCCCCCTCCTCCCCTCTTCCCCGCCGCTGGAGTCGACCTCTGCGACTTGGACCAAGTCGCCCTGTTCGTTGATGCTCTCGAAAATCCTCCTCCTCCTCATCCCCCTGATCGCTCCTGGCCCGACATACTAAGGTCCCGACAGCCCGCAGCCTTCAGCTGCCGCCCTGGGACCGACTCGACGCCCTGGGAACATGCCTGAGAAC